CAAAGGTTATTCCATCATGAAATAAAGATTAGTTTTTCAAATATGTAGAATAAGGCTGTATATGTTTAATTTTTTTGGTAAATAAATTCCATTAATCCATTCACAATGTCATGCTCTTCCAGAGGTTTTTGTAAGATTATTGGGCAGTTTCTCTGCCTACAAGATATTACCACAGATGCTTGGTTTACTTTTGCAGTTCTCAAAACTGAATTTGACTCAATGGAGATCACATGCCTCCTCTTCACAGCAAAAATGTTATAACATGAACAGAGTTAAGAAAAAGACCTTAATCCTAACTTCTACAAACCTATGAACACAGAATCAACCCCTTCAGTGCTAAGTTTCAAGAAGTTCAGTGAATAGAATAGAAACAATATTTTTCTGATTGTTTGGAGTGGAATAGATCTGCACAAGAAGAAAGTGAAACTAAGTGTGAGGAGGAAGGGGCTGACAGTCCAAGTTTCTTAAAATATATATATTTTGTTTAGCCAAATTAGTTAACAAACATGGATGTTTAAGCAAATAACATATGCTGTAATGTTATTGTTTCAGTTGAATAAATCTATTTAAATTGTTAATATTAAGGTAATGATTATTTTTCTCCTTCCTAAGTACAACAGAAAAGTTGTCCAAACATGAATGATTAAGCTATTAAACTGGAGATAAAAAAAAACTACCGTATATACTCGAGTATAAGCCGAGTTTTTCAGCACATTTTTTGTGCTGAAAAACGGCCCCCTCAGCTTATACTCGAGTCAACGTCTGCAGATGACATGCCGTCCCTGTCATCTGGACACACCCCCGGGATCAATCCTCGCTGGTGATTGGCCGCCGGAACTGTAGCTTAGGAGAGGCACACAGGCGCCCAATCACCGGCGAGGAGGTGGAGCTTGGAGAGGAGGAGCAAGCGGCACCGCGAAGATCGAGTGAGTGAAGAGGAGGAGAGCGGCCGGAGAAGGAAGACATCTGACCGGTAAGTGTGTACCAGGGGAGAGGGAGGGAGCGAACGAGCCCAGGCTGGAGCAGGGGTCACCAACGATGGAGCACTATTCCTCCCCCCACTGACACCAACGATGGGGCACTATTCCTCCCACACTGACACCAATGATGGGGCACTATTCCTCCCCCCACTGACACCAACGATGGGGCACTATTCCTCCCCCCCACTGACACTAACGATGGGGCACTATTCCTCCCACACTGACACCAATGATGGGGCACTATTCCTCCCCCCACTGACACCAACGATGGGGCACTATTCCTCCCCCCACTGACACCAACGATGGGGCACTATTCCTCCCACACTGACACCAACGATGGGGCACTATTCCTCCCCCCATTGACACCAAAGATGGGGCACTATTCCTCCCACACGGACACCAACGATGGGACACTATTCCTCCTCCCACTGACACCAACGATGGGGCACTATTCCTCCCACACTGACACCAACGATAGGGCACTATTCCTCCTCCCACTGACACCAACGATGGGGCACTATTCCTCCCCCCACTGACACCAACGATGGGGCACTATTCCTCCCCCCTCGGCTTATACTCGAGTCAATAGTTTTTCCCAGTTTTTTGTGGTAAAATTAGGTACCTCGGCTTATATTCGGGTCGGCTTATACTCGAGTATATACGGTAATATGAAAAGTTGTTATTCTAAAAATCTTCATCTACTTGCATATTAAAGTTATACCAGCAATAATTAGTCTTTATGTAGAAAACTATGATTTAAATCAAGCCTTACTGACTAGTTATATAAATCGTGATTTAAATCAGTTTGATTTAAATCAAATCCACCCTGCTTTTGGTCCCTTAACAAGTGGGAGGCACATATGCAAATTGTTGTAATTCCTACACCGTTCACCTGATTTGGATGTAAATACCCTCAAATTAAAGCTGACAGTCTGCAGTTAAAGTACATCTTGTTCTTTTCATTTCAAATCCATTGTGGTGGTGTATAGAGCAAAAAATGTTAGAATTGTGTCGATGTCCCAATATTTATGGACCTGACTTTACATGTGCCCTGTAGTACATAGAGCAGAACATGTAACCAGAAATATTGGCACTGCTTTCTCTACACTGGTGGAAGTGGGGTGCATCAGTGGAGGATAGGGAATGTATACAGAACAAAATAGAAGCATGAAAACAATGGTAAGATACCTTTCAAAAACAAAACAAAAAAAAACACCATGATACGCTTAATATTTTAGAAAGATTGATGTATTAAAGAATAAAATTGAGTTTAGTGTCACTTAAAGACAGACAAAGCAAGGCAACTAGCATTTTCTTCAGGAGGTCATCAGTCCCCATACTTTGTGACAGTGGCATCCCATTTGAACAAGCTGCCAATGCGCCAGAAAACACACTACACTACTTTCCCCCGATGCAGTGCACTATGATGCACAATAGTGCATTGTGGCATGCAGCAATGCAGGTGCATGTTTTTAGTGTGTTGGTGTGCTATTCAAAATGAATGACACCGCAACACTCTGAGTGCATAGTGCACAAGCAGAAGCCAGCCCTAGAGATAATTAAATGTTTACACATAAACAAGTGGTGGTGGGCATGGCTCTCGCAGATGGCTTGGGAAGCTGAGGAAGCCTTGAGCAGTACCCCGACTTTATGTACGCTGGTGTTAACAGAGCTGGTTAACACCGATATAAAACACAAATTCTCTTTAACCACTTCTCGACCGTCCGCCTGCAACGTACTGCGGCAGGGCAGCTGCTACAGGCAAAGCGACGTACCCGTATGTCACTAACACAGGGGGGTGCTCCCACCTCGTGACTGCTGTGTCCAGCGGAATGAAGATCCCACTGAAAGAGGACCTGGTGATCATGTGCTCGCTACGTGATCACATTATAAGCAAAGCTGTTATGAATCAATCTCATTCATAACAGCTCTGCTCCTCTTCCTAGTAACCTGTGATTGGCCCACAGCTGCCACATGATACATGGGGCCAATCACAGCACCCTGTACCATGTGACCAGCTCCAGCCAATCACAGATCACTATCTTGAGCTGTCAAAACTTAACTCAATCATGACAGTTCATGAATGAATTAGGTTCATGACAGCAAGCTTTGCATTGCAGGAGAAATGATCTTTATTTCTCCTACAAAGCAAAGTGTAAAAAAAAAAAAATCCTTGATCACCAAACACCCCCCTCCCCACAGTAGTACAATGTTGCTATGGTAACATTGTACTATTGTGATAAAAGTAATAAAAAAAATAATACCATAATGATAATTTTTTTTTTACATTCTTTTAAGAGTTTTTTTTTTGTTAAACTACTTGCCAACAGCTTACCTGCATTTTGCAGGCGAGCAGCAGCTCTTGGCAAAGCGGCTAATCTTGCATCACTTCCTATTTTGGGGTGTGAACACAACTGTGCCCCCCCCTCCACATGTTGGTCCAGGGAGAGAAGAGAGAACATGGCACTGAATAAAAGCACTACATTTTACACACACACATGTTAGATTAGCATATTTAACCCTTTGATCGCCCCTATTAACCCTTTGATCGCCCCATCTCACAACCAGTGCCATTAGTACAGTGTCAGTATATAGAATTTTTCACTGATCACTGCATTCCTGGCAATAGCAGCATCAGATAGTGTCAGGGTCAGTAAGCGCCCCAAACCAGCCAGGGTCAGCTAGCGTTAGATTGCCCGCACACTATTGCGCTCATGCTATAGGTCGATGATCACTGCCATTACTAGTATAGTGTTTGCACAGATCAAGATATTGATCACGTACAGAACTATACTAGTGCCTCCTTTGTATAATGTCCCCAAAACCGTAGGGTTAGCAGGATCGGCTCCATTCGCTGCCAGCACTAGCGTTTAGCCCCTCCGCTGTTTTTCATGGAAGATTTGTATCAATTGATTGTAGGCCAAGGCAATTTATACGCACAACATTACATCGCCGCCCACCTCAGCTCTTGCCAGACAAATCGCATGGAAACCTATTACTGTTTCTGAATTTAAAACTCTTCTGGGCCTAACCCTCAACATGGAAATTACAAAAAAGAATGAATTGCGGTCATGTTGATCCACAGAGCCAATTCATTGTATGCCTTTGTTCTCTGATGTTACATGTATTCACAACATGGACCAACAATGTACTGGTACATCGCTGGACTTTGAGTGATTATATCGGGATGATGCCTGCCGCTACAACCATCAACCTAGTATTGTTTTTTCAGCTGGCGGTCGGCTTTTATGTAAAAGCAATCCTAGTGGCTAATTAGCTGCTGAATTGTTTTTACGAGCAGCTGGAAGGGACCAGTATGAGAGTGAGAGCAATAACACTAAATTTAACACACCTGCTCCCCATTCACACCTGAGTCCTTGTAACACTAAAGAGTCACATGACACCAGGGAGGGAAAATAGCTAATTGGGCCCAATTTGGACATTTTCACTTAGGGGTGTGTACTCACTTTGTTACCAGCGGTTTAGATATTAATGGCTGTGTGTTGAGTTATTTTGAGGGGACAGAAAATTTACACTATTATACAAGCTGTACACTCACTACTTTACATTGTAGCAAAGTGTCATTTCTTCAGTGTTGTCACATGAAAAGATATAATAAAATATTTACAAAAATGTGAGGGGTGTACTCACTTCTGTGAGATACTGTATATACACTATAGTTTGTAGACACTAAAACTTTCACACAAACCAATTAATATACATGTATTGAGATTTTTTTTTACCAAAGACATGTAGCAGAATACATTTTAGCCTAAATTTATGACTGAGTTTATTGGATATATTTGGATATCTGTCATCCATATGAGGGGACAAGAGTAATGAGCCATAACTGACAACCCACAAAATAATACCGTAAAACTTCCAGCAACAATTTAATCACTATGCATTCCCATGCCACAATACTTTAATTTTCCTCCACAGGAGTCAGCTTTCTACTCACATAGTCCACTGGATGCTACAACTGACAGCAGCTTATTTTATTTTTTTTTTTAAAGTAAAGTAATATTCTCTTATATCCTGATTTTTTTTCTTTACAAAGAAAATGTTTCGAATCTGATAGGAAAAAATATTTATCTTTATTCTATATAAAAGTAAAAATTTTTTACTGACCTCCGTAAGTTGTTTTTGTAATTCAGAGATTTTCTTTTCATATATCTTCTTTCTGTCTGAAACAATCGCCATCAGATTGAAACGTATCTCACCTTCACAGTATCTGAAAATAATTTTTGATCCACATTAATAAGAAAACAGCTTATGGTAGTAATAATGGATGGGCATTCCCTTCCACCTATATGTAATTATTATGTTTGACTGCAGCGTTGCCATGTGCACAAACTTTTGTTGTTAAACGTTTAAGCTGTCTGATCGCATCTATAGAGTAATAATGAAGCCACTTCCTTGTACTCATCAGCTTCAAGAGCATGAAAAGGTGATATTAGCTCTTGTAATAGCATTAAAGTAAAAAAAAAATAAAAAAAAGGCTTTTTGTAAATGGACAAATGGATGGGGAGGGTAGACAATGACACAATCCCTGCACTGTACAATAGTCAGGAGCTGTCAATTGCAGCACTGGAAGAATATCACTATCTGTAGTATCCAGGATAAAAGAAAAAATATATTTTCCTGGAGTTCCGCTTTAAAGTGGTTCCAAAGGCTCAAGGTTTTTACCTTGTAAAAAAAAAAACCTTCTGTATACATCACCCCCAGCCTCCCTAATACTCACCTAAGCCCCTTCTCGATCCAGCGATGTGAACAGGTTATCCCAAGACTTCCTCTTCTCATTGGCTGAGACAGAAGTGGGAGCCATTGGCTCCCACTGTTGTCAATCACAGCCAGTGAGCCAATGAGAAAAGAGGGGGGGACGAGCCACGGCACCATGTGTGAATGGACATGGAGCAGCAGGTGCACCCATAGCAAGCTGCTTTTTGTGGGGGCACCTGACAGGGGAGAGGGGCCAGGTGAGCCTGCGGGGGACGAAAGAAGAGGAGGACCCAGGCTGCTCTGTGCATAACCACTGCACACAGCAGGTAAATATAGACATGTTTGTTATTTCTTAAAGAAAAATAAGCCATTAGAATCACTTTAATACAGGAATTTTAGGGCTCATATTGATGGGCGTACTTGTCTAATTTCATGCACCTGCATAGATTCAAATAGAAAAATACAGTTTTGCACAAGAGAAGTTTGCCTGTAGTGTCTACAGCATCCACATGCACTGTACACCCTGGTAAACCAAGGGTGGCTGCCCAAAGGGAAAATCACTCCTTTGATTTGGAAAGAAATAAACCGTACCTGTGCTACCAATGTGAATGAAGGTTCTTCATTTGTCTGCAAAAATGCCAAGGCTGGCGAGATTCTATGTACTGAGTCTACCGTATTTTTCGCTCCATAAGACGCACCTGACCATATGACGCGCCAAGGTTTTAGAGGTGAAAAACAAGAAAAAAAATATTCTGAACCAATAGACTGCAGACACAATACAGAAATAAATGACCAGACTGCCGACACAGTACAGGAGATGGCCAGAGTCTGCGGACACAGTACAGGAGATGACCAGAGACTGCAGGCAGTACAGGGGATGACCAAGAGACTGCAGGCAGTACAGGGGATAACCAAGAGACTGCGGACCTTTGGGGAGGGAGGGGAAGTGGGTACCTGAATTGGACAGGTATCCGCTCCCACTTCCACAGAGTTGTCCTCCCTTTAGGGTGGCCACCTGGCTGACAGCCATGTGCCCACTGCACATGTGTGAGAAGTGCTGCGCTTTGTGAATGGCCCGGCGTCTTCTGGGACCTGTCATGTGTCCCAGAAGGCGCAGGGCCATTCACAAAGCGTAGGGCTTCTCGCGCATGTGCAGTGGGCACCCGGCTGTCACAGCCGGGTGCCCACACTAAAGATGCCGTCGTGGGAAGACTGTACAGTGCTGGACCGAGGAACAGGTAAGGTCCTACTGCAGAGAAGAGCTGAGCAGCCGGCCCAGTATTCTGACAGGGTGGCGGCAGCAGCAATACCAGACCGGCCACTCCATATTCGCTCCATAAGTCGCACTGACATTTTCCCCCCTTTTTTGGGGGAAAAAAAAGTGTGTCTTATGGAGCGAAAAATACAGTACCTTTTTTCTGCCACTGTAAGTAGTTTTGTCTGAGGGACACCCAGCTTCCTTTAGGCTATAAGAAGCTAGAATTTACACTGTCCGTTCATTAACTCTTGTACAGGAACCCTTTGTGTCCTCCAGGGCTGTAGTTTTTCTCTTTTTGCAGTTATAGCAAAAGCTATTTCATTATCAAAGGTTTACCTTCAGCTGGCCAAAATGGACAGAATTTTCAGTTGTTCCTCTCACTCTGATGGACCATGCTTCTTTCCTGCTTTGATAAGAGGGCTACATCTCACTCATTGCTTAGGAGGGCAATGTTTATGAGGAGCCTTACGGCATTATTACAGAGGTTTCATGTATTTCCTGGAATATACCTGTAGGTGACTGGGAGAACTCCTGAAACATACACGTGTTCTCTAGTCTGTAAAATTACCAGTTTGCCATCTGTTGCCTGCAAAACAAGTACAGTCTTGGCCACAAATATTGGCATTCCTGCATTTCTGTCAGATAATGTACCACTTCGCCCAGAAAATTGTTGCAATTACAAATGTTTAGGCATTCTCATGTTTATTTCTTTTGTTTGTAATGGTATGACAGAAAATTACTGCCACCTTTTCAAAATTGCATTCCAAGCTTATGATGCTTCTGTAATTTGTAATTAAACTCACATGTATCAATTAACAGGTGCTCACAATATAGAAATTACACAATCAGTTAAAATGGTGAAAAATTCACTCATCCTTCCTTTTGTGCGTCTCTTTGTGCCATATGGAGCACGGAGAAGAGAAAGAGCAGCAAAGAATTGTCTGAGGATTTGAAAACAAAAATTGTGGAAAAGCATGGACTTTTCCAAGTTTTTAAGTCCATCTCCAGAGATCTTAATGTTCCTGTGTCCATTGTGCGCAACATTATCAAGAAGTCCCTTGGCACCGGAGCTAATCTTCCTGGACGTGGACAAAAGAGAAAAACCTAATCAAAGATTGCAAAAAAGGATTGTTCGAATGGTGGCCAAAGAACCTTGATCAACGTCCAGACTAATTCAAGCTGACCTTCAGGCACAGGGTACAACTGTGTCAGCTCGCACTATACGTTGCCATCTAAATGAAAAAGGATGTTATGTTAGGAGACCCAGGAGGATCCCACTGCTGACACAGAAACAAAGTCAGGCTGGAGCTTGTCAAAACTTAGCTGAGGAAGCCAAAGTTATTTTGGAAGAATGTGCTGTGGACATCAATCAAAATTACAGATTTTTGGTAAAGCCCATCATTCTACTGTTTACAGAAAAAGAAATGAGGCCTTTAAAGAAAAGAATACAGTACCTACAATCAAACATGGTGGAGGTTCACTGATGTTCTGGGGTTGCTCTGCTGCTTCAGGCACAGGATGTGCCTTGACCGTGGGCATGGCATTATGAAATCTGAAGACTACCAAAAAATTCTGGGGTGCAATGTAGGGCCCAGTGTCAGAAAGTTGCATCTCCGTCAGAGGTCATGGGTCTTACAGCAGGACAATGACCCAAAGCACACGTCAAAAAGCACCCAAAAATGGTTTCAGACAAAGCGCTGGAGAGTACTGAACTGGCCAGCCAAGAGTCCAGATCTCAAACCCATAGAGAACCTGTGGAAAGATCTCAGATCTAAGAGATAAACAAACGTAACCAGCGCTCCATTCTTCATACACCCAAGAAGATGCCAAAATGCCAACCGAAGAGGTGCAGCCCTTCTAAGATCGGGAAATCTGAGCACTAGTGGAAAAAAACAGACAAGGGCGCACTCTCATCGTGCATTACCGTGGCTAGCTCTGAGGAAGGGGGTTTAGCTCCCGAAACGCGTCAGCTCATTCGCATCATTAGACACAGATGTATTGTGACTGTCTTTGTGGACCACCTATACTGCTTTTAATCACGTTGCTTTGTGAGTATATATCCTCTTTTTATTCAATAAACACGTGTTTTACCACGGTGATGCACAATGAGAGTGCGCCCTTGTCTGTTTTTTTCCAGATCTGAGAGACCTGGAGCAGTTGGCGACAGAACATTGGTCCAAAATTCCAGTAGAAAGGTGTAAGAAACTCATTGATGGTTACAGGAAGCGGTTGATATTTTTTCCAAGGGGTGTGCTACCAAATATTAAATTGGGGGTGCCAATAAATTTGTCCAGTACATTTTTGGGGTTTTGGATGGAATAGATTTGGCTTTTTGTTTCTTTGCTTTTTTGTCATACCAATACAAACAAAAGAAAATAAACATGAGAATGCTTGAATATTTGTAATTGCTGGGCAAAGTGGTGCATTATCTGACAGAAATGCAAGGGTGCCAATATTTTTGGAACTATAGGATTGTAACCAACTCAGGATTAATGTAAAATTATTTGTAAAGCACACTTGGATAACTAGGCAGGTTATGTACGTCACCCCGCCTATTCATCCTACGCACAAATCCTATGGATTTTAACCTTTATAATATACCGTAAACGGTTCTAAAGAAGTCAAGAGTCCAACCGATCCTGTACCTCTAGGGGGGGTGGGGTGGAGGAAGAAAACCTTTTCCATAGTCCAACAATAGCAGGTCACAAACACATCAGATGGGAGAGAAGGTAATCCAAAGGTCCACGAATCAAAGAAGACAGCCCCCACCGTGGAGAAAAAACAGGTGGGCCAAGCCTTGTGTCATGGATAGAATGACTGTGGGTCATGAGAATGGAAAGGTCAGCAACATGCTTTGGACTCCCAAAAGCGCTTAAAGAGCTCCTGTATGAGTAGCCTGGGGAGCGAAAAAAGGAAAAAAGGAAAGGCCACGCAGATGCACAGAGGGGAAGACCCTACTAGTGCAGGGCTCCTTGCCCGCCCAAGATTGCTTTAGAAGGACACTGCTGCCCACCCAAAGGAATTGGAAAGATGTCTAGCGGGGCACAAAAAGGACACTCGTTATGAAAGGGCAATCCTGTCAAAAGCCATCTAGACCCTGGAGATGGGCAAAGCACCCTTGATGAGGATGTGAGATTTGCCCCTGGGACTTGAGGTGGCCTGTTCAGCCTAGAGACAGAAGGATCCATGACAGGCAGAAGGGCCACTCCGGATGGGTCTCACCAAAGCAATAACATACCGAAAAAAAGGTCCCA